GTCCCAACGGGACCACGTACTGGGCTTCTTCTCCAAGGTATGTTGCTATGGTCCAATAGTCAATAAGCGGGCTCCAACGCGGCTTGCAGGAAAAGGTGTCTTATGACGACTACAACTTGGCGTGCATCATCGTCCTACCGCCCTACCAACGACAGGGCTATGGGATGCTCATGATCGAATTCAGTACGTGCGCGACTTGGGCCCCACTCACCAACTCTGAGTTCCTCGCACGACAGGCTACGAGCTCTCCCGCCGCTCCGGCCGCGTCGGCACGCCCGAGCGCCCCCTCTCCGACCTCGGGCTCCGCAGCTACCTCGCCTACTGGGTGTCGACCCTCATCCGCTTCCTCCGGTGCGTGCCCCCCTCGCCCCCTCCGCCCACGCCCACTCACCGCCCGCACAGGCGCCTGCTGTCCGTGCTCCCGCCCGATCTGCCGAAGGTCACGACGCAGGGCCGCCCGCCAGACCTCTCGCACCTGCGCACGCCGTCCGCGGACCTGCGGCGCCGGCGCTCTGCGAAGGGCTGGGACGGCGAGGTCGACACGCCCCCGGAGTCGTCGCCGTCCGCCGCGCCCGGGACGCCCGGCGCAGACGACGACACCCTCGCGGCGCTGCGCGCGGTCGAGACGACCGCGAACGCGGACGGCAGCGCGACGACGCACGTCGTCGTGCGGTGCACGCTCGCGGACATTGCGCGTGCGACAAATCTGCGCGTGGAGGACACGGCGTTCGCACTGAACGAGTGTGGGCTGCTGATCCGGAGGTATGGGGCTGGCGGTGACGCCGGCGTCGGCGCGGAGGATACCATTGTCATCTCGCGAGAGATGGTGGAGGCCGTTGCAAAGGAGAGAGGGGTCAAGAGGATGTGTATCGATATGGCCCATGTACTGCTATGATATGCTTGGACACCAGCCACGGCTTCCGAGATACGACGAGGGCGCCTCACTCTCCAACTGAATCGAGTTTCAATGACTATCGAACCAGAACTCGGAAGAACTTGACGGAAGTCCCGGCCATATAGTAGAATCTGCGGCTGAAGGATCTCTGCCCTTCGCGACTTTGGACCCTCTGGTCTGCGCCCGGTGTTGTCAACTCGCGTGCGTCTCCGGGGCATCAGACTGAACCGCCACTCGAATCGACAACCGATCGTGACCTGGGAGCGTCCGAGTGCGTGGGCAGGGCTCTTTAAGAAACGCGACGCTGAATCTTCGGGGCGAGATGTCGTTGGAACGGTCGGAGTTGCACGACGTCCACCTAGCGTGAGTCCGCGCCAGGAGCTCCTTGCGGCTATTCTCCACCGTGCACGACCAACCTCTGAATAGCGTCGTCTTTCTCCTCTCGAGTGCTTTGAGTTTTTGTTCGAAAGGTTCGGCTGGATAGCGAGTTGTCTGCGCAGGATGACACACTGGCCATGGGGCCAAACCTCTCTAGAATTCGCCACTATGTAAACGGAGACTCGGCCACTCGTACTTCTAGTAGCCCATCCTGCCCATGCCAACTTACTGGACGTGCGAATTCGTGATTGTTCCACGTTTCTGTCCTAACTGTTTCGTTTATGCAACCGATGCTGTCAGCCGAGTTAGCGGCATAGGGTCATCAAGTCAAATCTGGCAACGTAGGGCTTCTTCTGCGGAGCCACACGAAAAATAGACGAATTAGCGGATACAACACGGGGCGAACACAGAAAGCAAGAGACATGGGTACACAAGTAACGAGAAAGCCAAGGCCCGCAACTCACACGCCCACTCTGGAAAGAACGTCAGTAATATCTCGAAATGACATACATGCCTACTGACCTATGTACGACCTTTTTCTGTTCGCACAAGTTAGCAAGCTGCATCGCACATCTTATAGTCGAGGCACGAACCTGTCCAGAGAATCGCACAATCTCCCGTTTCTCCATGACGAACAGAGTCCTCTCCAGGGCATGGCTAGAATAACCCTGCTGCGTGACAAACTCCCTTACCAGGCTCTGGTAACTTGTACTCCAGCCCACAGGTAGTCGCCGGCGGATCTCCTTCTCAATCTTGGTAATTTCTTCGTTCAGCTCCCCACGGGAGAGGCCCTCCACGGAACCCGCCGAAACGGCGTCCATGGTGGAAAATTTGAATAGCCGGATGGCCTCTTCGACGTGGTGTAGCTGCACTACTGGCGATAGGGACAGTTTTGCGAGAGATTCAGACATCCGGATGATCGCCTCGAGTTGGCTACGTTGCGCGTGAATTCAGACGCCGTTGAACGTGCCGCATGAATGGACTCACCGAACTGTAATGGGAATGGAACTTCGCTCATCATTGTCTTGCTCGACCATCTGTACTTGCTTCCGTAGTTGAACAAAGTGGCTGCTCAACATCTCTTGTGCGTTGGGAGACAGCCGTGGTGCACATTTTCTATTGCAAAACTCTGTGAGAATCGAATAATGCCCACGCATATAATGGCTCACGATTTGCAGTACGAGATGTATCGCTTCATCTTGTCAATGTCAATCTCGCCTACGACCTCCCCGTTCTCATCTGCGACGACATTTGGCCGGTTCATCTGGATATTCATGACGTGCTTCGCTATCATCTGTACGCAACGTCAGCATGGATCCGCATGAAGAATGTATGTGACTGACGCGATCGCGTTGTTCGTTGTGCTCGTCTTTGACGATGAAGATCATGTCGAAACGTGACAGGATCGTGGTCTGGAAGTCGATGTTCTGAGAGGAACGTATGAATAGAGCGTCGCACTCCGTGATACGACGAAGCGTACTTCACCGGGGCTGCGGCCTTCGTCATAACGACCCCATACGGGGTTTGCGGCGGCAAGAACACTGGTACGCGAATTCAGGACGGTTGTGATTCCGGCCTTGGCGATGGAGATGGTCTGCTGTTCCATAGCCTCATGAATGGCAACTCGGTCCTCGTCTCGCATCTTGTCGAACTCGTCGATACAGACAACGCCGGTGTCTGCCAGGACCATGGCACCACCTTCGAGGTAAAATTCACGCTGGGGGTCTCGTCAGTGATCGCGTATGCTGTCGTGGGAGTCGGACGTACAGAGACGCTATCCCGCTGCACCGAGGCAGTCAGACCGGCAGCACTGGATCCCTTCCCTGAGGTGTAAACAGCGATGGGTGCTACCTATGCTGCATATTAGATAATTTGTCGTTGAAATTTGAGTTGGGCATACCTTCTCCACAAACTTGAGAAGCTGACTCTTCGCAGTACCAGGATCACCCAGCAGCAGGACGTTAATATCACCCCGAAGCCGCATTCCGTCGGGAAGAATCTTCTTAGAACCACCAAATAGAAGACACGTTATTGCCTTCTTGATATCTATGAGTGCAGGTGAGCAGACAGGTGGGCATAGGCAAGGGCTCCTCACGCACCGAGAGAACCAAAGATACTGGGAGCCACGCTCTTCGCGAATCGCTCGTAGAAGCCGTCACTCCGGGCCATCTCTCCAAACTCCTCCTCCTCCTCGGGCGTAAACTGCATACCGAACGGATTCAGGCCTCCCGAGCCTCCCGATGACGGTGAGGAACGCTCGAGGTGGACAACACGTAGGTAGGGTGTCCGAAGAGCAGATGCGCCGGCGGATTTCTGACAAACTCTCAGCGCGACGAAAGGAAGGAAGAGTAAGAGGCTTACATTCTTCGAGGAGTGGAATGTTGAGTATATGCCCGTGGCCACCACTCGAGAGCCGGGGACGACTTGGCCGGTGGTATATCGGTCCGCCGATAACAGGATATGTCGAGGGAGTTCTCCCACGGGGACCATGTCTGGAGCTTCCTGGAGCTTGAGTGTCTGATGGTCGGAGAAAGTCGATTTGTTGTGGATAATGAGGTAGGGGTCGAGTGGGCAGTCCTTCTTCTGACCCTCGGGCTCTGGCGCGTCGCACACTCTAGGCAACCCTCGGTCTGCACCCGCACCCAGGCCGCCCAGACCGCCTGCAGGGTAGATGACTTTCGTCGAGCGGCAGGCCCGACATTGTAGGTGGAGCTTCGTGGCACGGGATGAGAGTACGGACGCGGAGATGACAATCCCTGGGATGCGGACGAGCTTGTTCATGGTGTTCGCAGTAAGTTCCCGGAATTGCAGCATGTTCAGACCTGATTTGATGGAGATCTGAATCTTTGGGATGGTTTGCATAGACGCTTCGGCGCGTTCGTCAGAGCCGTTCGCCAAGGGGAAGAGGATGGCTCGAGAGGCCTTAGTTGCGGCATTCTCAAACTACCAGAAGAGTAAGCAGGAGTATGAGTGAGGGAGGAGGAGCGTTACCAGTGGGAGAACATCGGCGGGTTTGTCCTGGATAGTATGTGCGAGTTCGTCATTGTAGAGTCCAATATGTCGTAAGTCAACCTCGAGCTGATAGTGCTTCAAGAGTAGATTGGCGCGTAGCTTGTCGCTGAGAACGTGACGGTACGTGAGATGTCGCGTCTGAGGGTGTAGGAACGGACGCGTACCGATACACGAATTCGCCTCCCAGCCGATACTGCAGCAGGAAGTCGAGCAAGAGTTTCTCGAGCTCTGAGGGGGAGTCTACGGCAAAAGTTGAGGGTATGTCGTGGACTGCGACGGAGTAGACGCGATCAGCATCGAAACCAGACATTGTGCGTGAGTGAAGGAGGCAGGAGACAACGTTAACGGCGGCCAAATTGACGCGTAGCGCCAAGTTTCACGCGGCCACAACTTGAGGGCAGGCCGTTACGCGACAGGCACGTGGTTTTCGAGCTATATGCGCATAAGTTACTTACGGTAAGGTACGCTCTGGAGCTAGGACGTCACAAACACCTTGGAACAACTTGCAGGACTGGCTCTGAGCGACAAAGACGTGCTGAAAGACGCCCACCGACAGACTGTTGATGCACTTGGTCGTGCACCTCGTCGTGCACCTCGTCAACGATGGCCTGCCTGCCCCTTCGACAATATTCGCCTGCTCGAAGCGCAGGACAAGGCCACCACGCGTGGGAACTTCCACACTGATGAAAAATAGAAAACACGTAAAAAAGACATTAGCCCACCGCGAGTCTCGAACTCGCAGCCTTCAGATCGGCCCTGCCTAAGAGTCTGACGCTCTACCGATTGAGCTAGGCGGGCGATGTTGACAGGTAAAGTTACATGGTCAGGACGAGGCTTTCAGAGCCCTGCACATCCCGGAAGTATGGCAGAGCACGTTTGGAGCACGTAGGAGCCCGCAGGGTTCGATCTGGGCGTGACAGCGCAATATGAATTCCAATCCCAAATTGGACAGGTCTTGCTGCTGTGCCGGAATGCCCGAAACTCTAATCTCAGCCACTGTATAGTTTATGTAAGCGTTCAGTGGACGGTGGACGGTGAGCACCGACGCCCACCAACGCCATCCACCGTCCTCCAGGCAAGGTATTCCCGCTTCTCTTACTCCCTCGCGACGTCCGCTGACGTGGCCTACGACCCTACCAGCAACACCCGCCAAAAATGACCCACGACGCCATCTGGTTTTCTCGTCCCCGCAAGTACGGCAAGGGCAGCCGTCAGTGGTGCGTATCCTGCCTACCCCGCTTCGCACAACAGCTCACGGCCGTCTCGTCTCCTCTGCAGCCGCCTCTGCGCCCACCAGGCCGGTCTCATCCGCAAGTACGGCCTCGACCTGTGCCGCCAGTGCTTCAGGGAAAAGTCTGCCGCCATTGGGTTCGTCAAGGTGCGTCGTGTCTGCGCGCGTGGACCACAGCACCCGCTCATATCGCGCTTTAGAACCGGTGAAGCTGTCACCTCGTACCCCTTCACTCCTCGCTTTCGCTGCTTTGCTTCCTCATCAGACAAAATGGGCCATATGTGTATGCGCAGATTATGATATGACATTCCACTTTGCACCCGCCGCGGATCGTCTGTGTGAACCTGAGCAGCCGTGACGGCCTGAGCACGCGAATGATCTGGCAGTTGGCTGTGAGTCGTCGGGGGGAGTCTGCGCGACTGCGATCCCCCCGCAACTCGTCTTATCCGCCCCCGCCCATGCCCGCCTTTCCATTACATCAGTACCTCCCGATGGCGAGCGCGTGCAAGTCCAACAAACGTGCAAGTCGGTGCACAATCAATCACCTCACCACGCAGCGCTACACCTCCCGCACCACGGCGGCCGCGCGCGCCAAGACAACGCACACAGTGCGTGCGGCACAAGGACTTACAAGTTACACTATTGCGTCGACTGCCACACATCAACCCGCACTCTAAGCAACGGTTTCAGATTGAGCAGAATAACTACAGAATGACAGACAAATAGGTGTGCGACGAGATACGATTAAACAGATGGGCTATGGGGATGGATGGGTTGAGAAAGTACGCTGTACAAATGCGGCAACCAAGCAAGTGTTCACAGAAGTTCAACAGAAAACACAGAAGACGAAGCGACGGTGAAATGCGGGGGTTTGAATACAATGCGCCATGGTGGTATGCCATACGAGTGATTCCCGGTCGCCAGGTGTGCCGCGGGACGCAGCTGCATAATGAACATATGAGGGAACGGATCCGAACACCGGGAAGGGGTTATTATAGGGTATAATGTGGGGGAACTGCATGGATGGTGGAGAGCGGCGCGCGCACAGTCAGTCCGATCGGTGATGGCCCAGAAAGTCGATCGATCCGTGCGTCGCAGATAGATGTTTGTTTACATTCCGTAGCCAAAGGACGACCTCTGGTACGGGTCCGCCAGTCCGCCAGCGACACCGACGCTCGGGAACGACCCGCCAAACGCCGACATGCCGGAGAACCCGCCGCCATGTGACGCCAATGATTGGTGGTTGTGGTTCGAACCGCCCTGTAGGACGTACCCGTCGATGGATTGCGGTTGCAGACCATGGAGGCCAGACTGTCCGAGACCGCCTTGCCCGTGGCCTTGCAGGCTAGCGCCACCTTGCATCGAGTAGAGGCCGTTCCCGCTATAGACGTCCGCCAGGGGATTAGCTTGTATGTGGCGACCGGCGCCGTGAGGGGCGAGGCCCATGCCCTGGTTGCTCATCGACATGTTGACGAGCGGCTGAGGGTTGTGATAACCTCCGCCCCCAAAGTGGTCCATCTGCTCGCGCTGCAGCTTGTTCTGGATTCGCTTGCCATAGGGAGTGTTACGAATGAGCGGCAACACGGGTCGGATGCCGTCCACAAGAAGCGCGCGCTGATTGGGCTCTGCGTAGTCCAGAGCGGTCTTCATAAACAGTCAGCGGGTACACACCCTAAAGGCGATAAGTAACGAACCTGGACACAGTAATTGCCATAAGAGTCCCTGAGCAATTTTTCGAGCCTCGTGCGGTTGAGAAGCTCTTCGATCAGCATCTTACGGGTACTGTGCTCCGCAACGCGAATGCACTATAAACATGAATTAGGGGACCTGATCGGACGAACATATTCACCATGCGAACGGACCTTTTCGATGACGTTCGAACTGAACTTCTGCACGGACAAGGCACAGACGTTGCCTGTGAATTGGCGGATGACAGCATCGCTGAAGCGGTTGTCGTTGAGGTCCAGGATATATTGCACGACCTATATATATGCCTGATGAGAAGACATGATCGTGAGAGAGAAGACGGAAAACGACGCACGTAATTGCCATAAGGATCCTGGACAAGCGTCAGCGCGTTATAGGTTATCTCATTCACGAGCTGAATGCGCTGGTGATCGGAGGCGTGGTCAATACAGCGCTGGAGAACGCAGCAGCCGTGACGATGAGTGGCGACCTCCACGCAGTTGGCAGCGACCGCGTTGTAAATGAACTGAAGAAGACCGGGTCAGAGCTCCGATCGTGTACCGAGTGGTGTTCGTCTCACCTGGTTGTCCTCGGGCGCCAACTTGTTGAGACACTTCTGAATGACATGATTGCCGTTCAGATCCTTGATGAGTACCACGACATGGAGGCTAAGCGCGACGATGATCGAATGAATCTGGCCATGGTATCTATGATCAGTCTGCGTGTCCGGGCCACCCTGTAAGTGCCAGAGGTGAAATCAATGATAAACTATGCTTGCCTGTCTCCGAGTTGACAAGAAATCGATCATCTTCTGCACAGCGCGAGTGCCGTGCATGTTCAACGAGATGTTGACCAGATCCTGCGCAACCGATTCGCAGATAATGTTCCTTTGCTCATCGGTGGAGTACTCCAACAGCTTCTGGCACAGGTAGTTGCCGAACGGATCTAAAGAGGTATTACAGATATGCGACGAAGCTCGACAGATGGAAACGTACCTGTCATGAGGTCCGCGAAGTGACCGAACGTCTCGCGGAAGATCATATCCCGATGCTCGGGAACACCTTCCTCCAACTTCTTCTGCAGGTACCTGCAACCATGCTGATCCTTGCACAGGCTGGGGATCTCGCCAGCCAGGTCTTCCAGACGCGTTCCGGCGAAGCGGTTGACTATAGCTGACTCTCAGTTCCTGCGGCCGCGGGGAGATAAGACAACACTCACATTCGCGATCCATATCACCTCGCTTGTGCTTGGGACCGTGCAGTCCGTTCATCTTGCCGTCTGCACTGGGAACACGGCTGCCAAGCCCGAGACCATAGCGAGAACCGTTGTGATGATATAGAGCAGTCGATCCCGTGCTGCCGAGGGGTGTACCCCCACCGCGGCTGCTAGAGTCGAACCCGTACGAGTTATAGCGTCCGTTCTCCAAGGAACCGTTGAGGTTGCTGTTCAGGCCGTAAACAGAGTCCACGCCATACGTCTGAGATAGATTGCCGTCAGTGGTTGATCGCCCAAAGACCATACCAACGTACCTGCTCATCATAGTTGGAAGACTCAAAGCCGATATTGTTGTCGTACTGGGCGGCTTGAAGACGGGACAGCGACGACTGCAGATCGCCATTGAGAGGGCTATCACCGAGCTGGTGAGCGACCCCCGTAGACGCAAGACGTCCGGCAAGGATCTGAGCGTCCGGGGACAAAGGCGTGCCAGGCGTCTTCGTCAAATGGGCAGTGACAGGATTCCCAGCCAAGGGTGTCGCAGGAACGGAGCGTGTGGTGATAGAAAGGCCATCCGACAGTCCCGGTGGAGAACCCCTGCGAGATCCAGGTAGTTGCGAGTGCGGTGATAATCCTTGAGAAGGAGGAAGGTAAGGAGTGGCAGAGGCGGATACAGCACCCGCCGACTTGCCGTTGGAGGACAGATCACCAAGATTGAGCGCTGGATTGGTCACCGCGCGTCTGTCGTTTCGGACAGACAGCGTTTCACCCGGACGAGGGGACCCCGTGAACTGAGGCCACTCCGAAGGTTTTTCACGGCCTTCGACGGAACGCCCACCATACGAGTTTCGCGACGGAGTCTGTGATAGAGGCGCCAAGTCCAGGGCAGCGGACGACGTAGAGAGCTAACGGAACGCTAATCAGATGATGAAATCGAAGTGATAGGGAACAACGGGTGGACCTTGCTGAAATGGGAGCTCTGATACTTGTCGTCGTCCGAAGTTGGCAAATTGCGCATGGCGTCTCCACCGAATCTCAGTCAGGTGTCCACATGCTCAAGACTGACGGCACTCACTGTGCATCTCCTCGTCTAACTGTTCGTCCAGCATCATCCCCGCGTTGTAAGCGTTGCTGAAACGCACGCCATCATCCTCGTATCTCCCATTGCTCCGCTGCCCAAACGCCGACTCCTGCCCGCCAGAATGCGGGCCTTGTCTCTCTCCGACCATGGAGAGGCCTTGCAAATGACCGGCCAGCTCCTCGTCATGGCTGCTAGCAGAAGTACGCCTGCTAGCTGGCATGCTTTTGGCACCGGGTCGTCCATAGCCCTGGCCAATACCGTTCGAACTCGGTGCATTGCTAGAAGGGATTTCTGGAGAGTGCGTGATAGGTGCATAGGTGACGGATTTGCGCTTGTCAGAGGCTGAGCCAACAGCCCTGGATAGGACATCCACGTCCACTCCTGCGTGGGCAAAGCCAGAGCGGAGGCCGGGTGAGATCTCGCCGAGCGCAGCGTTCACTCGGGGCGGGGTGGTCGGCGCGGACACGGCAAGGTGCTGCAGAGAGCCGTTGCCGTTGGAGTCTATGGGCAGGCTGAGGAGCTCTTGTTGCTGCTGCTGTTCGAGAGCGCGCATCTGGTCCTCGAAGATCTTGCGTTGGAGAGCGC